AGATTAAAGAGGAGAGAATGAGATTAGAGATTAGAGAGGAGAGAGAGAGACTAAAAGAGAGAAGATGCAGTTCTTTTTCATTCAAATCTGAAGTCATCCATTGACAATCTCTACTATTTATATTAGTTTAGGAGTCTTAATATAATCAATGAAGGCAATGATTCTCAAAAGTAATCTCCTAGAGAATTAGTATACCTTTTAGAAATCAAAAATGTGATTTCTATAAGATTACACTTAATACAAAAGGAGTCCCTAGAAAGACCAAATGACTTTTCAATTTTCCACACAACTCTTAAAATTTCCGGGCCAACTAATTGATAGCTCTTTGTTGATTTCTTTGCCTAGAATAAACTTTTTTGAAATCCTTTGTAAAGTTAGATGATTCTCCATCACCATTATTTCATTTCTTGTTATCAAGCTTAAGTGGCACTTCAACAGAGAAAACTTAAAAGGCACATAATAATAATCTAAAACAACAGCAATTTCCAGAAGTTCATGCTTAAATCTTTTGAATAATAACATATGGACCATCATAGCACAAGACTCCATTACACCAAGGAAAGAACGTGTGGGACTTCTATGTGCATAGTGCTATCAATGAGTCATGTCAAGAAAAGCCTTATGTTTGTTCCTTCCAGAATTTCTATGCTCAGGCAGAACTGTTAAGAGCTTAGGTGTAAAAGATCAAGATCAAGGTTGTTATTAACTTAAAAATACAGTTGAGATTACTTTACTCTTGTCATCAGTACTTCCACAAGTACCCAGTTGAAACAACAAAAACTTTTAAATGAATACTTCCACTAGGCAAGGACATGTTGCACCATATAGACATAACGACATGGCATCTTTGAAAAGAGGGCATCATATAGCTACTGTAGTTCATTATTCTTACAAGCTAATATGTCCATAACTTTGCATACTGACAAAAACTCTGATTTATGCTATACAAGAGACTCTGTTTACATTATAATGTCTCTTTTTGTGACTTATAATCACACATAATAAGCAAGGAATGAATCCCCTGGTTACTCAAGGATAAAAGGCTAATTTCATAAAATAATGTAAACAGTCTTATACAACTAAAATACAACTCACATTAATTGGCAGCTCCATGATGACCTAAAACCACAAATCCTAAGATCATTCTTGTAATAAGACATTAACACCATGAATAACAGAACACCTTTATAACCGCTAAAAAGGATTTTTTGAAAATTTAACCAGGAAAGCTCCAAAAAGAATCAAAATTCAATGCATATAAAGCATGGATGTGGTATGTGCAGCTTTTAAGTATACCCATGTCATATGTCACAATAATTCCTCCTGAGCATCTTGAACATTCTATATTGAACATAGACCATGATGGCACATGTATCATCTTTTTTGCTGGTGTTTATCTTCATGATATTTGTTGCTTTTTCAAATTGCATTAGATGTCAGAACTTTGTGCTTGTTTTGGTTTAAAGGGTGTGTGTGAGTGTAATATAGAAAGCACTGCAAAATGTGCATAGGATTTGGACATATTCAAGTTAGAATTACAACTGGTAGCAGGAATCTTGCTTACGCACTTCAGAGTACTAGTTCCATGATTTGGAACCTTAAACATGTAGAAAATGCAACTTCTAATGCTTGAAATAATAATTTCATCTGATCCTAGATTTTAACCTATAAGCTGAGAAATATGTAACACAAACCACAGAAAAAGAGTTCAAAGACCTCTCTATGCTTCATAGATTAATTACATTTTCTTATATCCTGATATACTCCGACAATATAAGTGTTTTATCTTTAATAAAATGCACATACATATATCACATTATATTTATATATCAGTAACAATGATATTTACATAGATAGTATGTAGTATGTACATTGTATAGAAAGTACCCCAAAGATCCATATCACCAGAAAGAATTCAAATAATACACACATATCTGACATATACACACAAATATGCATATGTACATTGCACATAGATACATGTATTGTGCTTCTCAGTTGCTCCTGCCCATACATTTGTAAACCTTACCGCTTCCTCGAATATATACATTTGCACCCATATCTGTATCCATACCTTGCTAACACTACTTAGTTCAAATTAACAAAGCTTCACAAAAGTATCAAATCTTTTTGTACTAATAAACTACAAGCATGAAAGCATCTCGATAGCAAATAACATAAGAAAAATCCTTCAAACTAAAAGATCTAAATATTGATGTAGATCCACCAAATTAAATCAAACTAGTAATCTATAGTATTTGGATGTCCTAAAAAACTTGTCATTAATCACGAAGAGCCCAACCTCTACACCTATGAAGGGAATCATCCAGTAGAAATAGATGTCTTATATGCAAAAAAAAAAAAAAAACTTAGTTGTATGGAACTTGGATGCAGAAAAACAGAACCTCTAAAGAACACTTCCTCAAATGTTTATACCAAACAACATTCAAGAAGCATGGAATTCAACAACAATTGACACACCACGGTTAACATACCGTGACTATTATTTCGTTCTGACGGCGATATGCTTCGGCAGAGGCAGAGGCCCCTCCATCCGCAGATGATGCGTGGCCTCTGGTAGAAGTTGCCCTCGGCTCCCGTGAGTCCTTGGTGTCATGCCCATGGTCATGCATGCTACTGCTTTTACCACCTCCGTGCTAAAATCATAATAATCACATACAAATTTTACCAACTACTGAAGAAATCAATAACTAACAACCACATTCACAGCGAGATCGAGGAAACAGATAGAAATATAAGGGGAAAATAAAAATGAGGTCGTCTTCGGAAGAGGAGACGCGAACCTGGTGGCTCCTAGAACGGCCATAGCGATCATCATCCTCGTGATGATGGCGGCGCTCAGCCGGGACGACGGAGGCGGCCTTGGGAGGGAGGAGAGGGGGGGGGCGGGGGCAGGAGGGGAGGGGGCGGCGGGAGCTCGTCGGCGGGGCGCTCGTACTGGGTGACGTTGGTCTCGGGGTTCCAGTAGTAGAGGTACCCGGTGCTACCGTCCACCAGCGCCCGCCACGGCTTAGGCAGGGTCGGGTCCTCGGGGGCGTACCGCGGCCTGCTCGATGCGCTGCCGCCTCCAGCCATACTCGAAGAACAATATTCCGATGAAAACCCCTCCCGCTGCAGATTCGGATCGTCGGGAGACGAAGATTAGGTACAACGGAAGCCAAACCCTAGAAAGAGGCCTCTCTTTTGGGATGCGGTAGGAATCGAGGAGCGTTCGGCGTTTGGGGTACGGGAAGATCTGGCGGAGGAGGAGACGGCCGCCTCCTCTCGTTAGGCTTGGAATCGAAAGAAATGATGCGGTGGCGAGGGTTGAATCGGCCGTGCAACCATTATAGTCTGTCTTCCTCTCGCCTCTGCTTTTTTATTTCTTTTCTTTCCTCTTATTACTACAAAGAATAAATAATTTAAGTACGTATTTTCCAATTCCACCACCGCCTTATTAGTGATCCCGCGCGTCGGTCCCACCAGCCACGCCCAATAACATTCCTGGTAGGCTAAGGGAAGCGTTGTTATGTTGTCATCGTGGATGTGTCCTCCGGCAATTTTATTCTCATTTATATACTCATCTGTCTTTTCATTCATTTAAGTTGGATTAATTACATATTATTTATTTATAATTAATTATTTGTAATTTTTTTATTTTTATATTTCAATAATTATTATATTGGGATTTATATATATATATATATATATTTCTAATGGGATTTTGGACAGTATTACACTGATAAGAAAGTATATCTAAATTGTGAGATCATATAATGTTAATACTGGAGAATAATTATGGTCATTTTAGATGTGGAAGGTAAAATGTGCTATTATGATATGAATGATTGTCGACGATCAACATGATTGATAATACTGTGGGATGACATACCTTAGAACAAAGATCATATGGGCTAAGCTTGGCACTGCTGATTCAATCATTTCCATCGTAGCATAAAAATGATGTTAGATCGTCAAACTCTACACGATTGCTGGAATGAAAATAAAATTTAAGAGAAGATTAGGTGGGAAATTGTCGATGATAAGATCGACGATGCAATCTATCTTATTAGAGGGGAAATTGTAATTATTGTTTAGATAATTTTAATATCATTTTGTTCTAAATTTTATTTGCATTTCTCTAACAATTCATTGTAATGTAGACAAAATATTTCTTTTATAAAAAATATACAAATAAAGCATGAGTATAAAAATAATAATAATTAAATATGAGGTGGGAATTATATTCTCCTTTTATCCTCATCGAAAATCAAGATGAAAATGATAAATAATGAAGATGAAATTTAATATTAATACCCAATGATTTCAAACTTTAACATACCACGAACGAATTAGGTTTCAGATCTTCAATAGTCATACTTTCTTTACATATGAAATTTGTATTAAATTTAACAATTTAAAAAAAATAAAAAATAATAATAATAAGATAAATTCTCGAAAAAAAAATCTTAATTTGAAGCTTTGTAGTAAAGCACTCCAAGTTTAAAAAAATTTCTAAAATATTTTTTTTTAGAAATAATCATTTTGTAATATTGGTCGTTCCCTCGGTCACTTGTACTTTCGCATACCAACTAATAAGTAATGACAATCGCTACCTCCCTCGTTCACTTATTGTCTACACTTTCACGTGCGAGTGACGTCGTCAAATATATCCCCGCAACCTAAACTAACTATCCGTGCCTATACGTGAGAGTCATGACCGACTACAATCAGAATTAATGGCTTAAGTGGTGGTTAAGAACGTCTATTAATTTTTTTTCAAAGTTAGGAATGATAAAATAATCTCTTTAGAGATATTTTGTGAGAAATTTTTAAACTTGAAATACTAGAAAAAATTTTAAATTAGAATTTTTTTCTAAAAATTCGTTGTTGATAATAATAAAATAATCATAAATGTAACAGAAAAAGTGGTGTGATTAGAGCCGGCCACGCTTATAAATACTGCGCCAAATCAATCCGACCCCTTCTTTTTTGTACGATCGAGAGTGGGCAGGAGGGGTAGAGCATTTCATCGAACATGTCGGACAGCGGCGTTGTGATGGTCTACGGCAAGGGCGCCGCCCTGTCGGAGCCGAAGAAGTCGTCCACCTTCTCCGTCAAGGTGGGGCTGGCGCAGATGCTGCGCGGCGGCGTCATCATGGACGTGGTCACGCCCGAGCAGGCCCGCATTGCGGAGGAGGCCGGTGCCTGCGCCGTCATGGCCCTGGAGCGCGTCCCCGCCGACATCCGCGCCCAGGGCGGCGTCGCCCGCATGTCCGACCCCGGCCTCATCAAGGAGATCAAGCGTGCCGTCACCATCCCCGTCATGGCCAAAGCCCGCATCGGCCACTTCGTCGAGGCCCAGATCCTCGAAGCCGTCGGGGTCGACTACGTGGACGAGAGCGAGGTCCTCACCCCCGCTGACGACCAGAACCACATCAACAAGCACAACTTCCGGGTGCCTTTCGTGTGCGGCTGCCGCGACCTCGGCGAGGCCCTCCGCCGCATCCGCGAGGGCGCTGCCATGATCCGCACCAAGGGCGAGGCCGGCACCGGCAACATCATCGAGGCCGTCCGCCACGTCCGTTCCGTCATGGGCGACATCCGCGCCCTCCGCAACATGGACGACGACGAGGTCTTCACTTTCGCCAAGCGCATCGCCGCTCCGTACGACCTCGTCATGCAGACCAAACAGCTCGGCAGGCTTCCCGTCGTCCATTTCGCTGCTGGAGGGGTTGCCACCCCCGCCGACGCGGCTCTCATGATGCAGCTCGGCTGCGATGGCGTGTTTGTCGGATCCGGCATCTTCAAGAGCGGTGACCCTGCGCGCAGGGCCAGGGCCATCGTTCAAGCAGTCACCCATTACAGCGACCCGGCGATCCTGGCGGAGGTGAGCTGCGGCCTGGGGGAGGCCATGGTGGGGATCAATCTCAACGACACCAAGGTCGAGAGGTTCGCAAGCCGCTCAGAGTAGCAGAGGAACGTAGAAAAATGGTTCCTTTCATTCAACTCGGTAGTCGGGTCGCTTCATACTTGAATTAACATAGTTTCTTTTAATTTGCTTGCTTGATTGCTCTATTAGCAACTCAGCTATTTCTGCTCTTAATCCTAGTGTAACCTGTGCTTTAAGGGATCATCTGCTCTTGGTATGGGCTGTAGTTGGATCCAGTGTTCGTTTCTTTTGTCTGTGCCACTGATTTCTATGATATAATAATCCTAAGGATCTTTGATGTATCTTTTCCCACCGCAATTGGATGCGAGGCATCTGCTTTTTATATCTTTTTACATGTTTAAATGCAAATCTTGAGTATCATTGCACTTCTTGGCTGTACAGCACATTGTTTGGATTTGCTGGTGTTTTATTTATCTGAAATATTAGTGTTACTTAAACTGCTTGGTGGCAGATGTCTGATTTCTATGACATAATTATCCATTTTATGGCTCTACGGTCCCTAGGGATCTTCGATGTATCTTTTCCCATGGCAATTAGATGCAAGGCATCTGCTTTTTACATCTTTTAAATGGATTTCATTACACTTGTGCTGATATATGACTATATGTTGTTTGGATTTTCCGGAGTGTCTGAATGTTCATGTGTTTTATCGTACTCGATTGCTTGGAGGCAGTTGTCTGAGTACATTAAATGTCTGCATTTTGTGGCTACAGAAAATATTATGTTTGCTTGGCAGGTTATTAAAATGAATTATGATGCTCTTGGTTAGCAAATGGGATCGCTTTGGTATGTGATTGTTCTGATAATGCCAAGCCTCTACTTTTATCCTCCCTGCTTAGAATCTCAGTACTGTTCTTTCTTTGCCTCTTCTTTTTTAAATATAGGCTTTACTTTCTGGTTACGAAGCTTCTTACATGATACTGGAAACATATATATAGCGTGCGGTTTTAGCATACATGTTAAATATATATTTTTTCAAGGCGAAACATTTGGTGAACTGGTGCAACTTTGGACCCTTGTTTATGAAATTTGTTAGAACGCTTTGAACTTGTACTAAACATAATTCTTTTGACAGAGCTTAATAACAACAAGAGATCAATGTAGCTAATCCCGAATAACTGGGACATTAGGTGGTGGTTGTTGTTGGGCTATGAACCTGTACTAACTCAAGTTGTCATCTTGATTGTATGATGTAAGATAACCTAGTATGCTTGTCAACAGAGATGAGTTTTCCGAAAGATGAATTATCTCATCAATTAACCCACTATGCTTTTGTGACGTGTCTATATTTGAGATAATTTATCTAGAAATAGCTGCATTGTGAATAAGTGCCAACCCAATCATCAAAGTTTGAGTTCATGAACTTGGCATGCAAGTAGTTGAGTGAACATGATCCATTCAGATTGAGGTGGCAGTTTTGATGAATTATTGTGATCCTCATCAACCAATTATAGTGAGGAGTACTTGTAGACTACTGGGATCCTAGGGGCTGATGTTAACAATTTAGGCATCTGACTTGAGTAAAAGGAACAAAACAAGGATTGTTACCACTTACTACTGTATGTCTGTGTTTAGCTGAGGCAACCATGACTCAGAATTCCTGATACAGATACCATTTTCAACAGGCAGAGCATTTGATGGTTATGATAGCAGTATTCGATTAGTCTCTGTGATGAGTTGAAGTGGACAATTGAAGAATCTGCATGTGTGCATTTGCACATCTCCTTTGGCTCCTTAGGAGGGAAGGAAATATATCTGTGGGACAGTTTTGGCATCTTTAAAATCAACATCGTTTAGCAGTATTTATTTTCCTTGTTATAGGCATTGTAGTTGGCAAGGAATCAATACAAGAAAGGTTGTTCTTTATCAAAATACTTACACTTGTTTGAAAGATCTGGAGAAGCCTAGTTTTCTTAACATGTGCTTAAAGGCTATGTAGCACACACTAGTAATCACAGGACCCCTGTGATTTTTTTTATTTGGATTTGAGTTGAGTCAAATTCTAGTCAGTTCTAAAGAACAATTCATACTTTTCTTCTTTCTTCCTGTTTATATCTTCTGTTCATCTGTACTATATCATCATCTAAGAAGCCAAGAGAGATCAAACTGTTGTTGGAATCTACTGCAGTAATCGAAGGACTGCAACAGTCCTAATCTGAAGCAGGGAACATCTCTATCTGCTGTATGACATTACTATCACCCCCTGATTTCCATCATTCATCAGATTGCTTGTTTTGTTTTGTTTTGTTTTGTCCAAACAGCTGTTCAACTTTGTGGATTATGATGTGGATAAAATTAATAATGCTACTGAAAATTTTCTCAATGTGCATGGCATGTGCAAGAGTCAAAAGATTCACATGCAGAAAGTCCTCTTGCCTGTGTTAGTGTTATCTGTGCTGGTTTAAACAAGTTGGGAGTTAGAAAATCCTGTGTGCAATAGCTCTGATGTAATGGATGACCTCTTCTCAAGAACATAGCAAGTATTGTTCTTGGAGATGCATGCAAGTGGAACAGGATAAGTCAGGCCCAGGAACAGCTGAATGGATCACATAGGTCAGCATATGAGCCAACCAGATAAGAGTTGATGCCTTAATTGCACCTGTAGACAGTGATATGATTGGCTGCTGGCATTTGACAGGTAATGAATTCTTTCCCAAGTTTAGAATACATACATCAACGGGGTGGCATATCACAAAACTACCACACATCAACAAAGGAGTTGCATGTCACAAAATTTCTTTGTAATCCAATGTATTGCATTGTGCTATCATCCATCATCCGGCCACAAGCACCCTTTGAGTCTGAGGTGCAGCCAAAACTCACGCATGTATCAATAGTAATCACACTATTTTATTTTTATTTTATCAAATTTGAATTAGAAATATAATATTTAAATGAAAGTCTTTGATAAAAATCCTTAGTTAATCTATGGGTACACTGAAATTTATATATACTGAGAACGTCTGCAGTAACAAAATCCCTCAGCCTCAATCAGTATTCAACTTTGATATAAAAAAAATGTTTTTATTTTTCCAGCTTATGCAATAAGAGAAAATATAGTGAAAACATTTGTGATACGAGATATGAAAGCTATACAATATACAGCTACTTACATTCTTAACTAGTGTGAAATAATGATGAAGAAATGTACAGTGATAAACAGTTATCTTTGAGATGTTCTTTTTGACCTCACACTTGCTCGACGGGCTACATCCCATGCCATTATTGGTGCAAAAACACCTTGTTGTGATGCAAAAAATGATTCGTAACCAGGCGAATCAAAAGCAAAACCGGTGTGCCTCGACTTTTCTCTTGGAAGCTGTAATATAGCATAACTCCGAGCTTCATCTGGTGTTAGATTATTACCGATTTCTAGAAACTCTCTGCTGCCGACACCTTCATACTCGCCTCTGTGAATCTCTTGAACAATTTGATAGTTGTAGGGGAAAAACCATCTTTGGATCCTAAAAGACAACACATTACAAATTAGTAAAAAAAAATATAATAAACACAAAAGCCAGAAGCTTTGAGAAATCATTCAGGTATCTCTGATGAAGTTTTGAGTATGTAATTCATAGCCTGGAAGATTTCAGTCAAATTATAGATCAAAACAATATGGGTTTTTTTTTCTAGAGAGATAACCTGTTATATTCTAGAAATGATATCATGATATAGAGATTTATCAAATGTCTTACCCAAGGTAAAAGAAGTCGCTGAGAAGGGCAACAACAGGGATGAGAAGCAGTGTTAGGTAGAAATAGAATGTGCTCAAAAGCACGTATATGGTAAAATAAACATTTTCCTGCAACAAGAACAAGTTAATGAGTGAAAATGAATAAGAACGATCCAAACTAAAAAGATACCCGAGGAACTTACCTGTCTATCATTTGGGGTCATTATTCCAGAATATATGAAGATAAAAATAAACCATGCTAAAATGCTCCCTGAAACACTCAGAAGGTGCCACCTCGTAAGTGAATTGCATACCATAAGAAGGCGCAAGTTGACAGTTACAACAGCACAAGTAAAGGCCATTGTACTAACATCCCAAAGACCAAATATCATTCCTGATGAATTATGACCATTCTGACTTGCAGTAGTTGTGAAATAATAGAAGATCAAAGACTGGTATACAGCAAAGAAAGCCCATACTGCCACAACTCTCCATTTGAAAAACATATTTCTGATTCCTTCCCTGTAGAGCTCTGGATACTTCTTTGACAAAGAAGCACTTACATCCTAGACAGCAGCAATCCTAGTTTAAATAGACTGCATAACACTAACTGCAAGGGCACTCTAGGTGCAATGGGTGTGATAGTGTCCAGAATGACTAAAGATGATTAAGAACATATGGCATGTAATAAGTACCTTGTCAAAAAGTCCAACAATGATCACAGGAAGAGCTGTAAAAATGACATTGTACAAAGATTGGAACCAGTCATCATAAAATCTCTGACCAGAGAAGCCAGTTTGAAAGGTGAACCAAAACTGAGTCAATGTAAATGTAAGATTCTTGTAGAAGAAGTAAGTGATCACCTGCAATTTGAACCGAGTAAGGTGCTTCTGTTGGTGATTATAATGAACTTAAATAGTCAAGTAGAACCAATGAAACAAAGTGTACCTTACATAACCTGATATATGACCATCTTCCATGTACAAGAAGCAGATCTGTAAGGAAGCGAAACTGAGCAATGGCAAAATCACTAGCCATTACAGCTTGCATCCCTTCCAGACCACTTATGCCAACACCAACATGAGCAGCCTGGATCATACTTACATCGTTTGCACCATCCCCTATACTAAGGGTGATCCTATGAGCACCTTTCTTGACTAGGCTTGTAACCTGGCAAGACAAACATAAGCAAGTAATTTTATAATAAATAAAACATATGTAAATCCTAAGTCAACTCAACAAATAAGAAGGCAAAAGAGATTAAAAAAAATGATTCAATTAAATAATTCATTAAAAAAAGACTAAGAAAAGGAATAACAAAATCAAACTAATATAGTTCTAGGAACCAACAAAATAGTCCAAATTAAACAACTCATCCTAAGCCCTAGAGATGCAAAAAATACTGAAAACCTAAGCAATACAAGGTCAATATTGAGGAGAAAAAAATGCATTGCATCAACCGAACAATGTAGGGCGTAAGGCAAAGGAAATCTAACCAGTATTGCTCAACCTACCACAAAAGGGTCCTGAAAAACAAAATACCAATGAGTGGCAACCCTCAGTTTAACGAGTGATGGTTCTTATTGAATAGACACTAAAAAACTTTAAGACCTAGCAAGTGATGACCTTTAGCAGATGAAATACTTTTTTTGCTAATTTATGATGCAAACTACAACCAACATACTACTCGACTAGTCTGAAAAAGATAGTGATCATCTCAAATTACAAATGTACTCTCATTTAATGTTTGAGAAATAACCTGATTTATAAGTGCATATCATGAATATTTATATGTAGCATAACTAACCTGATTTATTAGCACAACACTTGTTATTGCGAATGACAGAAGTCAGATGAGAAAACAAATGGAGAGCAAAACTAATATAAATTTTACCTGTGCCTTTTGAAGTGGAGAAACACGACAACAAATTACTGAACTACAATTCAAGCTTAAGTTGAGCAGATTCACACGTAAATTTGGGTCCAGTGCATGCATTAAACATTTGCCATCAATTACAAGAGCCAACTTTTGCCCCGACACATGAACGTATCGATGGGCCTCCTCATGGCATTGTTTCAGATGATTTTTTACTGTGTCTTTTATGACACGTGCAATCTCCACAGGGTCACCCTGGCAGTAGATAATACATACATTAAATTAATATTTGACATTAAAACAAGTTTCCTTGGATAAAACACAAAGAAATAGAACAGTTAATGTGGTCCATAGCAAAACAGAAAAAGGATGCCTGGATGTCAGAAAGAAAATTGAGGAAACTAGAGGAGAAACAAAAGTTATAAATTAAACAGAAGGCATGGACTATGAGAACTATGTATTGTATCTCTAATAATATGCTTTCGTGGCATGTAATTCAAGTTTATTTACCTTTTCCTCGGCCTCTTGGATTGCATCAGTTTCTGAACTGATGATGAATTGCTTCATGTCATTATTGATCAAGTTGCATGCTGCAAGCAAGCAAAGGAATCACTCAAGCTTTTAATTTTAAAAGAGAAACATGAATTTATTAACATGCAAATTTCAGTCGTCATGATATATTTTTTGACGAGTGCTCCAGCAGACCTATAACATCTAATGTTTGTCATACCATAAGCAATATTTATTGCAGTCTCCATTTTATCCCCTGTCAACACCCAGATTTTTATACCAGCTCTAGCCAAAGTTTCTATGCAAGCTGGAACTCCATCTTGAAGCTTATCTTCAATAGCAGTGCATCCTATTAGTATAAGATCCTTTTCAATAATCTCTGCCACCTACAGCAAAGAGATTTTGAAGTTAATCATTTACTGCAGAAACCATCTAACCACTGTCAGCCCTGTTAAATGAAGAAACAGTTGCAGGCATCACTTAGGAGAATTATATCAAATGCCAAAAAAGTATCAAGAAACAATATATATTAAATTTAAATTAAAGCGATAATTAAATAAATATGCAGGCAAGCTCGATAGGCAAATTATTTACTATGGGTATCCATATAATGTATCTAAAAAGTTACAAAATGTTAAAAATAATGAACAACAAAACATAATCCATCAAAATGTCAATAATTTAGAATCATCCCTGAATCCAATATTAATGATTTTAATAGGATGTGACCACAATTTTCCAAAGACCATTTTTCACATGCGTATGCTAAACCCAATTCAGATCGACCCAATCAACCTGACTGCTTGGATTAAAGTGTCACAATATTTTGTCAGCATCAACTGAAAAATCAAGTGCTGAAATAGTACCAGAACCTTGAGAAGGCAGCTCTTGCTACTGTTTTGTGTTGCCTAATAAAACTGACCGAGTGAGCTATTTAACATTGAATTGAACCATGCCAATCAAAGCTATGTTTCAAATGTCTAAGTCAAAGTGTTCTATCCTTCCCTAGTTTAGTTTATGTTTGTGCCCCCAATGGTTATGATGCCACAGGAGATCACCTAGCTTCGTGGCTAATCGAAGAAGAAAAGCAAATGCCAAAGATCAAAAGATGATGCCAGAGAAAAAGCAAAGCAGCACAATTATGGATAGTGTGTTATTTTTATGTTTTCTATGTTGTCCTCTGTTCTTTTGTGCTGTAGGCTCATGACCATGGTTGATCAGTTCATGCCATAAACTAAATTTCTTGCCCAATGAAAATGGATTTGAAGGACTAGGCAAAGCAAGGCTTGCAATAACACCTGGTATGGTTCGGTAGTGGTGGTATCTACCAGTTACTGGTACACGGGCCGGTGTAAACCAAGCAGTACAGGGCTTATACCGTTCGGTACAATGTGACAGAGGTTCTGTACCAAGCAGTTTATATTCTTTCTATTTATTTTCTACTCTTTTTAGGTTTTTCTTCAAACTCTGTATATTCCAGCGTACTGATATTTGGTACATCAGTATGGATCAGTACCATATCAGCCAGAGCCTGATTGGTATAGTACCAATACATAGAATTACGAACCTAGAGGTGAAGTGTTCTGTCAAACCTTTTATTACGACAAACTTTCTGAGGCAAAGAGGGTCAAACAATTAGTCAGCCATCATATATTTATCTGCTTGAATTATAACTCATTTCCCGATATTCCCCATATATATAATCTAATTTCATTATATTGCGTTGTTTTACTTAATTTCATTATATAATCTAATTTCATTATATCTGCTTGAATTATAACTCGGTCCACTACCAACACCAGAACCTAACAGATGCATATCGATTTGTGCGGCCCCTCTAAAATATAATGGAACTTGTGCAGTGTTAGCATTTATTCAACATACCAAGGTTCGTCGTACCGTATTGTATCAGCGTTTTGACCCGGGCTCGGTATGGTACAGTACCAGTATACCAGACAGTACATCAGGGTGTACTGAGCAGTACACCCTAGTGTACCAAATAATTTTATACTTTTCATACTGTAGCATGCTGCAGTATTATACTGTAGCACTGTAGCGATACCGGGCAGTACGCTTCGGTATGACAGACCTTGCAGCATACCAAAGTGGCATTAGAATTGAAATTGAACGGTCCATGTGGTCGGAACATTGTGAAAACTTGAACTATGCTCATTCCACTCTTCCCCTTACCCCTCACATGGGGCAATCAGAGAGGCTGACTGATTTAAATCTGAACATAGAACTGCCCCAGGCTGTTACAAGGATCTAGCACTTCAATTTTGCCCTACAATTCAGAATCATTCTGGGAATTCTCTTCCATAGGCAGAGGGCTTACAGTTAGGCATACTTCCATTCTCACTTCAATAAGAATAAAATTAAATACACCTTGTCATGTTCACAAGATTTTTCTCCAAAAAAGTATTATGCCACCGTGAATCTTAAGATTAATGTAGTGTTCAAAAGATTTGCTCAATTTTCTTCAAAATTACAATAAATATTTTGGAGAATTTATATCACTGATTCTTTGATCTTGGAAAGAAATAGATAAAATAAAGTCCAAAGGATTCTTCAGAACTACATCTGGAGCAGGAAAGATCACCATATGATAGTAAAGATTAGGTTCTCAACCCAAGCATTAGTCTCACTTCCACCTTCATTTTAACTCTTTCTGAAGCAATTATTCAGCTATTTTTTTTAGATCCAATATGTACCAGTTATGACATTCTTGGATAAAAACTGTGCTGTAGTCAATATATCTCTACCAGTTATTTCACGGATATATCATGGTAAGTGTTGACTCCGACATTGTAAACTCCTGATATGACTCCCTAGATGGTCCTGATATGGCTCCAAATATATGCCAAAACAGCATTAATAACCACTGTAAATAAAAATCACACGTAATATTATATTCTTATTGACAATATATATCTAATCAAACTTTCTGGAACTAGTTTCTTGATAAAACAAAAATATTAGACTGTAACTTAGGATTCTAATTAGGCTCAAATCAGACCCTATCAGAACCCTGACTGCAACATAATGAGATAAGAAAAGATTTAGTCCATTGTTTTATGTCTATTTACCAGAATCAGTAAGAAAAATAATATCTGTGCATCATAGGCATGCTGGATAGAGATAGAAACAGGCAAAAGTTTTCGAAGTCAGAAATCTCCATTTCAAATTTCAAACACTGGAGGATCACAAGGGCCAAGGGGGTTTCTCTAACTAAAAGGAAAACTCAATGGCAGGCTAAGAAGATACAACACAAGGGCAATCTCTACAAAGTTTATATGTTTACTGTCAAGCCCTTCCATAAGAAAATTAAATAACTTAAATATCTACATGCCAACCATTATAAAAGCAAAACTTAAGAAGTGAAGCTTTTGACATTTATTTAGTAGAAAAAATGTGAACAATCATAACAACTAAATACAAGAGCATGAAAAGGTTCTGACAAAAGCAAAACTATAATAAGATATCAAATAGGCCCACTCCCTGCATACCTCATCAAGTTTTTTATCCCGGTCTCTTAAAGACGATTTGGCTTGAATAAATTTCTCATTCCATTTTTCATATAAATCATTTGTTAATTCCCGATAGGCAAGGCAAAGTGTACGTAGACCCGCCGAACCAAACTGTTCCAAGTGCTCCCTGGTGACTTTTCTAATGTCATTACTTGCATCAGACAATCTTTCAAATATGACAGTATCCGCACCCTGTGATTTATTTTCAACTCAATTTAGGATGAACCAACTAGAACTTACTGCATCAAGATCCAAGATTTTACCTTACAATAGAGGACAAGCCTTCCATTCGGATAGCGACACACAATAGACTGGCGCTTCCTTGTACTATTAAAAAGCAAGCATACATAAATAGCAAATGCCTTGAAGTACACAGATTCAAAATTTAAATGTGTACTAACCTGTTAAATTCTAAAACATTTAGGATCTCATATGACACATCTTGTTTCATACCCATCGTTTCAACATGTGATTCACGTACCATGACTGTGGTTGGTGTGCGCCTATGGAAAAAACACAAAACATGGTAGTTTTAACTTTCAACTTTCAAGTATGATTTGCAATACAATAGTGCAATGAAATTTTCGCATTGTTTATCGTTGTATTGAGTCTATCGGCTATTGAGAGTTACTGTAGTACATCCATAGGTATAACATGTCAGAAAATATTCTGATATGGATACCAATATCAATATTTAAAATCTAGATTTGTTTAGGGATGAAAGGAATTGGTAAACTTTTAACATCTAGGATCAACATAGAAAACAACCATTGTGGTGTTACCTATAAAAGAAGAAACCAAAGTTCTTCGCAGCAGTTACAAGGGCAGCCTCATCAGGTGATGCAGCTTGATAAGTAATCTTCTCTGGGGATTCATCACCTTCTGGAAGAACAGTATGGCATAATGCAAGACATCTGAAAAACTCCTACAAGTGAAATAGAATTAAATTCATAATAGTGTGTTAAAATCCTTGTAATTGAGCTTCTAGCTCTTAGTTATCCCAAGAAAAGAAAACAAAAGTTCTCTCTCCTATCCAAATTCTCACCCTCTTGCCCTTGTTCCACATGACAATGACACAAATCTTCTGTAGATTTTTAAATTTCAGCCCGATGCTCAAAGGACTTAAATTTCAGCCCAATACTAGTTTCAGTAGCCAGTTCGATTTGTTCGGCATGCTATACTAATCCATACTATTTAGTACCACCACAAAATAATAGAAAAAATAAACACCAACCAGTCAACCAGTACCAACCTATATGGTCCAATACTGATCCCTGGACAAGTAATAACAATCCATGTTGGCTGGTACAAAAAAAAAATTGATTTATTTGTTCGAGCCATAACAATATTGCCTGTATGAAATTATCCCCTGTACATAAATAATTCAATTGTTACCATCCATCAATTGGAATTTCTAATCTTGCATTGTCTGTATGAAATTATCCCCTGTACATAACAATATTGCCTGTATGATATTCAAAATGGATCCTACAATTCCTATCCTCGTCGTTCCTTATCAGTTCTAAATAAAATTATCAGCCTAATAACACTTTGCAAATACATCAAACCAAACAAGCACTCTTAAAAAACATCCAAATGGAACAACCATACATTTAAGAAAAGACAATTTAGAAACAATCATACATTTACAAAACACAATTGATTTTTTTAACATGAAGTAGTAGTCTTGATGTGTGTTTTACTAAAAGCATTGATGTATAAACTGTTAGAATAAATTTTCCTTGAATAAGCTAATCAAATATGAAAAGTTTAAGGTTGATTGATTGGTATTAAAAAAAGTACGATGCAATATCGTACCATACCGCTCGATACGGGTGGTACATATTGATATGATAGAGGATCGGTTTGGATGGTACATCGGTACACCTTAGTGTACCATGTGTCGGTATGTTCGGTACTGCTTGGTACATACCGTACCAATAGCTGATCGGTACACCGGTACAGTATAGTTTTTGGAACCTTGAAAAAAACAATCTAATGTCAAATCAAAACAGTAAACTACATGGTATAGCTACTCCTACATGGTAAAGGGGCAGGGCTAATTTTACATAATGACATTTGCAACTCATTCACATATACAGAGCTTGGTATAAATAAATTATTAAATGGGCTCTCTGTGACAAATATAAGTAGTTGAAGGGCTCTATTTAACAAAATGTTCGAAGATATAAGTGAAGATCCCTGAATCTACCTTGCAGATCTCAGGATCATGCTCATTTCTCCAAGCACCATGCATAATCCTAGCATCATCAAAGTTGAAGCCTTTTTCACGAACTGCTGTATCTGACTTTGCATCCTATAAGCAATTATGAAGAGCATACACATAAGTGATTTGAACTATAGAGGGTCCCATACTAGTAAGGGTAATCTCTAAATTGACATACACATACCTCACTTAATTTTTTCCCACTTCGTTGTGCTTGTCCTTTTTCAATCTCGGTAATTCCAGTTCCATATGCCTCCACACCAATTGAACACTTGAAGAACTCCATCAGGTTTCTAGTTAAGGTTCCTGTTTTGTCAGAAAATATATACTCCACCTACAACAAAAGATTTTGAAATTAGTAGCATGAACAACAAAAAAAAAACTAATAAATAGGAAAGAGGAGAATTTGTCGATATTGCATTTGTTCCTCTCTTGAATTTGGTTTCTGTTACTTATCCCACAGTTCAATTTAAATTTTTTATCATTGTTTGAGCTCAAAAGTTTCAACTATGCTTATTGAGTACATCCTAATTTTCCATTGTACATGCCTTGTACCAACTATCCATGGAGGACTTCATCATGATTCTGGAGAATGACAAATTCACCAATCAGCTTTTTTTCATTTTTCTTAATCCTCGATGTTATTCATAAAGTCTTTATTAGCAACTTCTGAAACCAACGGTAAAAGATCAAGGCAAGGTATTGAATAATTTTAAGAAAGATTGAAATTGGAAGTGACAGAAAGTCATATTGAGGAATAACAGGAGCCGCATATTACCATTTAATTCAAAACTTCAGTCACCAAAAAATGGAATGTAGGGTCTTGGTTTGAAATTTCATCGCACATCAACCGTGACCAGTAACCATTATGCCAGTGCCATCACATACCAGCCAAATACTTAGACATCTTATTTTTCTTTCTTTTTGAAGTGAACCAACAGGTACGTACAAATCTAATGTGGTTCTGGAATCAGTATAAGACAAGTAGTTAATACCTTGGTAAGATTATTTTATGTGGAAAGCTAAAGGTTCGGTGTGACTGCCAATTACTTTCCCACCCTTTTCGCTCTAATGCCTTCTGTTATCATTTTAAATTTCAGCTGATTCTCTCTTATGTCAACAAAGTGCTATGGAATCTTTATTGTTATTTATGAAGAGTAAACGGCTGACACTAAAGTGATTGTGAAACCCAGAAGGTATAAAGTGACCAAGGTTTAAGCATGGAAGCATAAAAAACTAGAGTAGGACCTAACATCAATGGGTTGCAGAAGCAAATCAATAATGGTTTAAATATCAGATTTGATATTGGTTTTGTCATTCAAGAAAACATCGGTTTCAGCAGTTCCGGCAGTGGGTATTTTATTTATTGCTGATAACTTCTGCATTTTTAAATTTTGATCAATGCCTTAATAAACCAAATCTACATCTAAAACATTTTAATATATCATATTTTCTAATTTCAATTCAATATTTTATCTTTAAAATATATAAAGTATTTATATATTTTTAACATTATATCCCTTTTTTATAGATACCATCATGTTTATGCCAGATGGCATGATACAAAATTGGTAGTACGTATCCATCGATACTCAAAACACATATACCGGGCGAGCGATACACCCTTCGTTCTAGCCAATACGATCAAAATTCGACCATTACTAACTAATACAAGTCAGTAACCATTAAACTTCGACCCGTATCCCCAAATGGTCCATACCAACCCCTATTAGTCAAATTGACCACTGGGAGCATTATAGAGGTTATATAAGCCCCTCCCTACCCAACAATTTCTATATTCAATGCTTATAACCTAAAACTTCTATTGATTCTTATTTAATTTGAATTTATATATCAATAAAATAGGAAAAAAACCTGAACCTGAAATAGGGTTTTTATTTTTAGCTATTTTTTAATCAAAATTTTAAAATTCTTGTACATACCAATGTCTTGTGTGTTGTATTGTGTTGTACCAAAACCAACAGGTATGTATCGGTTCGTGGTAAGTATGGTTGGTACAAGATTGCAAACCATGTTTATAATATTTTACAGTAGGTTGAATTTTTAATATGAAATAATATAGGCCTATAATACATCTCAAGGATGAAGACCCTAGACAACGACATAACAGAAGTCCTATCAAATATAATGCCAGCCATTGCATGCCCAACTTCGTCACCAACTACTGCACATAAGTAGATATGCTAAAACATATGCACCTGGAAACAAAGTAGAGCACCCAAAGCACAAATGTACATATGCAGAAGTCACTGTTGAAAAGGTAATGCAGGTCGAACATTGATGAACATGAACCTTCCTTGTAATTATGATGATGCACTATTTAATTATTTTGTAACTATGATGATGCACTCTTTTTTAATATCCCAATATCTCATTTCATCTCAGAACATGATATCTAGAAATTGGAAAACATTATGCTAAGCTCAAAACAATGCAAAGGTACCTGCCCAAGTTCCTCATTCAGATTGGATGTCCGTGCTAATGCAGGGGTGTTGCTTTCAGCATGATACATGTGCAAATCTTTGTCAATAAACTGAGCACACTGAATGAACTTGATCATCTGCAAATGGAAAAAGTACAATGAAGATCCTAGTTATATTGGTCACCGCCAATATGCTCAATTGCAGACCACACTAAGGAATTCAGGTCCCACCTCAATTGAGACATAGAGAGAAATAGGGATGATAGTTGAGTACAATGTTATCAATGTAAACATTGTCAGAATAGTAACCTGCAAAAGGATAAAGAATGCCTCGCAAAAATTCATGACAGATAAAATTTTCACGATTTAAATTCTTCCAGACTGTTACCACAAATCTATTGTTAGGATTAAATTGACCCTCCACATCATCAAAAAGTCCTAGGAAGTAGTATTTGCGGTTGATAAAAACTCCACTGAAAGATATCAAAAAAATTAAAATGAGTGTCAACAATCAAAAACAACCAGATGTCTATAATATTATACAATTTAAAGCATATCAATTTCAAGATAAACAACATGTGGATGAACAAAAGCAACAGTTCATCAAACTACAGTTTTTTATTCTTGTTCTCTTGTAAATTAAATGTGAAAAATTGATTAAAAGAAATACATTTTTGTTCAGTAGCATAGACAAATTTTCAGTAATTGTTATCGAAAATATAAAGGGTTACTTTAGCAAGGTCTTGACAATACTACATTAGCAAAGTTCATTCTTGATATATGGTGAAGGACATTCTGAGTATATAAATATGTATTGCCACATGTTTTTTCTTCTTTTGATAAGATCATTAGTGAATAAAAGTTATAGTAGAGTGTAGATAACTACAAATGTTTAATTAAAAATTGCATGAAATGCTATTAATTTTCTGTTCTAGGAGTCTTATAGATTTGGACTGCAGTATCAAACTTTTCTCTTGTAACTTTTAAATGATCAAAATTGATCAGAAGACAAAAAGCGAGCCACCTTGTGTCCCACTAGTGCAACACTGGCATGGAGTTCTTGTATTGTGTAAAACACCTTGATATATCCTGGCATCAAGTTAATGACATCTGAGACAGACCCTGTTCTGTGCCCAATGGCATGTGTCATGTCAGTACATTGCTGACAACCATGACTGTTATATTATATAGACTACTAAATGGTATAGTTGTAGACTGTCTCAAACTCTCAATATTCCAGCTAAAACATTTATTATAGGTTCAATATAAAGAAATATCAAAGGATATAAAGTTTTGTAATTGCAAATGTTTGTCCTTGATGTGCATTTTAATTCTATTTCAATAGTATATGTATTTCGATAGTATAAAATGTCCTCGACAGTCATTAACATAGTAGATTGAGCTGATATCACTAGGCAAATTGGGGTGACCAGACCAGGCTGAGGCAAGGTCAGCTTCACCTAGTTCCTAGAGGCTGTTAGAGTAAGTCACAATCCTTTCCTCCGTTAACCTTGCCTCATCATATGTTGCTAATAGAGTCATAGAATTTGTAGCTAATCTGAATATGTGAAATTTAACAAATCCTATTCTATTTTTTTCTAAATTTCTTAATCCCACCTATTGTTACTGACATGGCTGGATGACCATAACAGGCAAGTCCAATGATTAGTTAAATTATGTTTAATGTTTTCAGCCTCAGCTTGTATTATAACAAGACCATTTAATCAAAGAGTGATTCTCATTCTATTGATTAAAAACCTACACTTGAAATATTTTACAACAAAGCAGAGCAGTATATCAGCTTATATAAACCTTCAACTTTACCTTCCAATGGCTCCAATCAGACACATCATGAATAAACCACCAAAAAGAGTAAGTATAAGTTTATCCAGTTTCCTTTCCAACGTACTTCTTTTAGAAGGAACACTCATAGAATTCATCATAACCTGTCATATGATTAGTAGAAACCACATTGAAGTGTAGAATAGAGAAACTTAACCATCTAGGGTACAAGGTAACTCAAAAAATAAATAAAAGGCTTGTTTAGACTTGGGAGTTTAGAACACGAACTTTTGTTTCATGACCAGTAAAAATAACAGCCCCAACAATGTATTCCGTGTTCCGAAGGCTGCAACCCTGTATCATTTTCTTAATGCTATATGTTATATAATAAAAGATACAGTTTCTAAAAGTTAGAAATACTTCAAAAACATACATATTACTATATTAGTACGAAACACCCATCAGAGAAGATTCACGTGAATATCAACAATATTAACACAATACAGAACATGAATATCGAACTGTTTCCCAAAAATTTTAAAGGTTCATACTTCATACTGCTGTCAACAGTGACCCAAACAAGTCACAGTGTGTAGGACCGTGGGGTTCATCAATCCCATTTTATATCATCCCTTGCTGATACCAAAACCTTCTAGAAAACTGCAAGTTTGGCTGGACTTAACTGAATCAAGTGTGTTATTCAGAGTTTACTACTGCTAATTTTAATGCCTTGTAAGAAATCTGACCAGTTGCAAACCTATTCTCAGCCAATAATTATTTTTTTACTGACTTTCTGCTAATTTTCACTTAATCATTGGCCCCATCAAGCCAGTTCCAGTTACTCTGGTTGATTTTGAAAAGATCCAACCAAATATTTGATCCAAGTTATCCAACCATATTGGCAAGACGAAATCCAGATCCAAAATTATGGCACCCGCCCCTATTCTGACCCTGACTAACAAACCCTGATTTAAATACAAGGGTCAACAAGCCCTATAACTTCTAAAATACCTAGAAACCACCTTCTATTTTTCAAGTACACTACTGCTCTTGTGATCAAATATATATCAATACCTTTAACAAACTACTTTTAAAATTGGCTCATCCAAAAACCCCAATGTCTAAGCTATATTATTAAAGCATGCCATATCTTTTCTTGATATATGGACCACTGATATGATCCAGCTAAGCCTAGGCATGCTTACACCATCATTTTAGGTAAACAATAAGCAGCAATCCATCCATACAGTCCTCAACTGTGAATAAATCCTTTCTTTCTTTTTTTATCCAATCGGTAATTCCTATATCTGTTTGTAGCCCAAAATCTGTACCAACTTGTCACAGGCTTAGCATTGTCAAGTTATTCCATGCTGTATGGGGCACAGCATACTGCTCAATTTTAGACCTATATACCTACGTATACCAAGGGTAGGCATACCATTAGTACTCAAATCAAAACCCCATATCCATCTCGTTTAAATTTATCACCATGCCCTTTGCTCTAAACTCTCTCTCTCTCACACATACAATCTCACATGAATCTTCTTTTTTGCTCAAGTAAATCTTAAATTTAAAGCAAAGCAAATTTCGATCTCAAGAAATCTAGGTTATTTATCGAACAAAAGGTAAATCTCAAGCTAAGCTGAATTTTTTCTTAGATTTTTTAATGCTTTGATTAAAGTATTATTTTTGTGTTTTCTTATGGTTTTTGCTAATGAAAAATTGCTTAAATTTAGTATAAAGAAATTAATTATGGTTGGATTTGCATAAATCTTGGTTTGATTCACATTGGTCCAACCAAGATCCTAAATTTAGACTACATCTACATAAATTTAACCGAAATCTGCATGGATCTAGACTAGCCATTCACAAATCTAGTCAAATCTGGGTTACAACTGTATAAAACATGGTCCTTTTCACTAAAGTGGTATGCCTATCGATTAGAGCACCATCATCATTGAAAATGTGTCCACTACAACTATGATGGTTGTGGTGAAGTAATGAGGATAAAGCAAAATTTAGACAATGCACCTCTTAAGATTGCACAATACTCAAATGTCCTTCAATAAATAAAATGGATTTTCATTGAAAATTAGATATTCAAAAACTCTGAAGGATGCAACAAAGGAAACCGGTGGACGATCTAGATAGAAGATATATCAGTATCAAATACCAATAAAGTAGACTTACCTCTTCATTCAACACAACATTCTCTTTTGTGGTAGTACTCACTCACTAATAAGGTATGGCTTATACAATTCTTAAATTCATATATTTTCAAGTTTTTAATATATAATTGTGATTTATGGATATATCATCTATTATATGCCACCTTCAAGCAACATTTGAAGTTTTTTAATGTATGTGTTATTGACATATGATTTGCAATAATATAAAACATATATTTGGATTCATTAATGAGGAAAGCAAGGTTTAGTAGAGATTATACGGCTCAAAGTCGATAATGGTTAGCTTGCCAAGTGCTAGTCTCTGCCTCTATGCAACCCTTCCTTCCCCCTTCTCTGCCTCTCTCTTTCTCCCACCAGGCCCTCTCCCTCCTCCTCCGGCCCTGTCACTGTTAGCCCCCACCCCCTGCTCTTGTCAACCCCCATGCCTCCCCTGCTCTGAGACCCCATCCCAACCTTCCCCTACTCTCAGCAGACCCCTCCCCTGCAAAATTGTGTTAATTCTCATTAATAATAATAATAATAATAATAATCAATTATTGTTATTAATTCTTGTTTATAATAGTTTATGATTGTGTCAATTAATGAATCTGTCAAAGCTATCATTTTGAATTTTGTTATTTTTGATGTTAATATTTTGCCTTGAAATTTTTGTTGTTAGATTTGGACAATTTAGTACTTTGATTCTGTATAATTGGTCAAGTTAACATAATTCGATGTTTTGGTGGTCATATTTAAACAAAATGATATGGAACTCATGTATTGTCTACTTTTTTATTTTAATGATTGAAATTTCTTTATAATTTTATTTTATAATTGTTATATTGGCAAGCATCTTCCTTCGTTTGGACAAGCAACGAGCGCCTCGAACATTTTGGAATTAGACATCTTTTAGAATTGTTCAATCAGAGAATTTCATAATGAAGTAAACAAGTCCCTTGCAATATCAAGTGAATAAAAAGGCAACAAAATACCAAAATAAAAGTGAAGATTTCTTTTAAAAAATAATAGAAGCATGAATGATTTTTAGAGGAACTATGTTATAAAGAATTTTGGAAAGCATCATGGAAATGCGAGGTTGAGGCTCACTCTAAGTAGAATTTGATTTGGAGAAAGAGGCAAGGTTTGACTTTCAATGATAAGATTTCCAGTAAAAGTATAAAGTGAATTGTTTGGCTGTTCACACTGTATTTCCCCTGCACACATATTAACAATGTTGCGTATTAGGTGAAGACGACAAAAACTTTAAATGTAGCATATTAGATGCAATTTAACAAATACATTAATTATTTTCTACAGTGACATCATATGACAATATCCTGTCTGAAAGAATAAAATGATAAAAGTTGAAATCTGACAAAAATAATCTTGTTCGTTGTTACAAAAGAATGGTCTGAAAAAGAATTGAGATATAATTACATAGGCACCAATGGTGCAGAGACTGAAAAAGAATGGTCTGAAAAAGCTCACCTAATATCACATGATGAGTTTCTGATTACTTAGGTAATCTATGGAATAAAGATACATGATACAAAAATAATGATGCAGAGACTTCAAGCACCTGCAATTGCATAACGAAGAATGTAATACAGGATTTAAGGCCACATAGTTATCCTGTATTGAACTTACTTGCTTGAACCAAGCTATTAATAACCCTCAATCTTCCATGACAAACTTTGGTGAATTAGTTCAGTTGTTGTCTGTTCTTGTCATGCTTCTTCTGTATCCATAGATACTAAGAAATCAGAATGCTAAAAGATGACAAGATTACCAATAGAACCATAGTGAAGTAGGGACAAAGTTGGCCAACGTTGAATGGGGAATGGACAATTCTGATCAGTGATCAAATTGGGATAAACAAACCCAATGAACTTTGGTGAGTAGAGAAGGCAAATAAGTGAAGTAGCATGTATATGTTTATCGGTTAGAATGTCCAGAAGTTAGAAAAAGATGCACTAAAAAAATCAATCGTTTAGACTTTAGATGAAATGTTAAGATGGATGTGCATTTTTAAAAAATAATAAATAAATGCTTGCATTCTTTAACAAGACAAGGAAGGTCTCTAAATGCATTGTTTAAATGAGGAATATTAGGAAGAGAAAGACCTAAAACACTGTTTGAAAGACTGTTTTAAATTGAAGGTGTTTTGTTTGACTAGTAATGTGATTCTCAAGATAGCTCAATGGCAAAAAGGATACAGAAAGTTGACTACCAGAAGGATGCCAACTATGAGCTCTTGTTGTCCTTGTTAAGTGTCAGTGAACCAATATCAAACCTTGATAAGCTTTAAATTGTAAATGGGTATCAGAAAATAGTATACAGAGAGCAACTAACCAAAAGATTATTTATAGAAGTGGATATCAAGATCAAAAAATTCAATCTGGTAACTAAAATCTTTGAATGTTGAACATATCTTATAAGTTACCAGAATTTTCCATTTAAGGAACAATTATGATATTTTCATAAGCTCAAAGAAATTTCAAGTCAGAGAAGCATAAGAAACTAAAATTATGAGGGACTTGCTTCATCAAGCCTATAGAGCAAAATGCAAAGTCACTACTTTAGGGAAAGAGATGATTGATCTTGAAATTTCAATTAAAGTTTTACGAGCTTGATAGGTACTAAAAGGCGAAATTCTGAAACATCAAGCAACATGTCTTATGCAATTTCTAAGTTGCTTCCTTATCTACTAACTGGTATTACCTTTCAATATGCATATGCTAAATGATGCTCAACACACTACCTTATGGAAGAACATATCTACTAATCAAATAATTATATATATGTTTACCAGCAGAAGATACAAAAGAAACTACTGGGTCAATTATACATTTATTTCAGTTTTGCATCTCAATTATTAGGGATAAGCCATGAGTGACCTTTCCTCTGACTCAAGAACTAAATAGTTCAGATAAAAAACTGACATTTTCAATTAATCATCAAAGAACAATCAAACCTTTAAATTTATCAGCTATCTCAGGAGCCAAGTAATCCCATGTCTTCTCTAATGCTTTTCTAATCTTCAAATTGGTTTCTCCATCTAGATTTGCAGTCTGAATTCATAAATAGAAAACAGTAAACTACTAGACGAAATCATGCATCATAATTTCATATATTTAAGATAATAAACCAATCTTCCAGCTCCACAACAATATTCATGGATTCAAGTTCCTAAAGCTAAAAGGAAACCTCAATGTAGCAGACTCCATCAGGATTTGTACTAGCAAGGAAGACCAAATCAGCCGGAAAAAAGCCATCTTGCTTGACCTGGTCCAAATGAATACACCAATTATAAGCTCATTATCATAGCCCATAATTATAAACTTTATAAAGAATATCTAAGCAATATCGAATTTATGATTGTGGTTAAGACTTAAGAATATCAAAATCAAATAGTAGCGTTTATACGGTGCATTCTCACACTGATATCTCACGCTTGGTTTTAAAAAAAAAAGACTTATCCTAACTGCCCGATCCAAATTGGGATCGGAACCCAGAACCAGTCAAGAAAATTGGCCTTGGACAATCTTGACCAATCCTGACAAAAAGAAATGAAAAGAATATAATAAAGAGTGGGAAGATGGGAAAAGGTCTTTTCAATTCATTGATAAATGGCTTCAACAGAGATATAGCAGATTGATGATATCTGCAGGTTTTTCACTTGATGCAGTGAAAGGGTGCTTGAATGCTGAAGTGACTCCACGGGGGGTCCTCAAAACTCAAGTAACAGACTTCTCATAAAGTCTTATATGAATTACTCTTAACAATTTTAGTTACATTATATAAGTTTAGAAAAAAAGATGCCTTGACTAACAATGGTACTCAATCCTTAATTTCATGTCATTATATAATTTTTTCCCTTTGCATGTTTTATTATTATTATGTATCAGTAGTCTAATTTTTGTCGTTCATATGTTTAATATTTTTGTTTAATTTTTATTTTATTATTATTTTCTTATGTATACAATTCTTTTTATTTTTGATTTTTTATTCTTGATATATTTCATGCCAGCTTTCTGATCCAGATCATCTAATCCAGTTGATCTGATATGATCTGATCCCAAACCTAATCATATATTTTAAATCTTGATATCTGAGGAGTGCAAGTACAATTAAGGTTAAAAACTATTGTGACTTTGACATATGCTATAATTATTTTGCTTCAGAATTGTTTGCATAACCAGCAAAAGAAAAGAAACTTCCCATTCTAAACTCAACAGGCAAATACCAACCTATTAAATCTTTGCACACTAATGGTGGAGATGGGCCACTTCTGAAGTGAAAAATTTTAGAGAAAATGACTTCGTAGTTCATACATGTGGCCAACTGCCCAAAGAGCAATAACCATTCTATTAAATCTTTGCACAGATAAGGGCTATTTGGTTGGAAAGAAGTGACAAGTCAAAGCCTGTTAATGGTAAAAGTGGGCCACTTCAATCATTTATATACCTAGAATGAAAATTTTCGAGAAAGTTGCTTCATTCACTTGGCCAACTGCCCAGAAATGACCATAAAAAAAGGGACCATAATAAATATTGCAACATGCTTAAAGGACTCAATTATTCATTTTATCACCTCTCATTTGGAAATTAATAGATAAAAATTCCAATACCATGTGATATTTTTCTATGCTTTATTCAATATCCATCATTATCTGTTATCCATATCATATTACGTGTAACACATTTTAACATTAATTACAGAAATATTAGAGAATTTAAAATATTAAATTAATAAAAATAAAATATCAAATTTCAGAATATAAAATCAATACAAAATCACATAAAATGGTCAAATATCAAAAATAATCATTACAAGACAAAAAAAATGAATAAACATCAGCTAACTGTTAAAATTAAAAGCAGTAACTAAAAACTGGCTAAATATTTTGAAAACATTCACTAAATTAGGTTATACTATTAAAATAAATAAATAAATAAAATAAAAAATATTACGAAAAAGATAAATTAAATGGAAAATTTATCATTAAAACCAAAACACTTATAAAATATATGCAAGTACAACTTGGTCATGGACATATGACATATAATACAACCAGAAAACCTCATTAACAACATAGTATAGGTTACAGATCCACTGACTATGTAATCCAATCAGTGACTAGGATTATAAGCAAAAAATTTAATACATGCCATGTTCTTATTTAATACAGCAAAGTTGTTATAATATGCAAGACATTGGTGGCACCAATTAATTCCAGTTGCAACATCAAGATCCACCAACTGTGAGTGAAACAATCATTAGATTTGTAGGGAAGTCCACTAAAAGAATGTAAAAATCATGCATAAGCAGCAACAACTACAAAATAACATAACTTTTCAGTGGAGGAGAATTTTATCAAAGTGAACAGATGCAGAGAGTTCAAGCCTGACTCCAAAGAAACTTAACTTCAGCTACTAATTGCACTTCCTTTAAACCAGACTCAAAATTGAGCAGTAAACAAAACAAGAGGTTTCCATGGCAAGGTCTTAATGGTGTTGCAAGAGAATCTTGCATATGGACACAGTCACACATACCATCCTCATTAAATAAAAAGAACAGTTGAACTATCACTTTGGCAACTATGTTCTCCAGCAGAAGAAAAACGATTAGACATCAGCAATTAAATAATTATCCATTTAACAAGTAGGACTCTGAATCCTACCCTCACAATGTCTCCAACTTGCAGCTTTCTCCAAGGCACACTTTCCCAATTTTGACCTTGCAACACATCAACAGCAGTATTATTGATTGAGTTGTCATTTTGAAGACGCTTCTGCATGAAGAAAAAGGAAATTACACGAATGAATGAAATGAAACATCAAAATCAACTTGATGCAAGGACTAAAAAAGCAAAAATGAGGGGGCTATATGTTTTGCTAACCCAATCTTCAAATGCCTCCTTGATAAGAGATACCAAAAGAACTAAACTGAGAGGAACAACATTCGTTACAGGTGACACTGGACTGCAAGGATGATTAGCAACTCAGTAGAGTAGGTAATATCTATGATCAGAGTGTAAATATCACCTGATGTATAAATTTCGCCAAACTTTTATCATCCAGAATTTCAAGAACAAATTAGATGATAAGTTGGTGATAGTACATTCAAAACCCAATGTGAAACACAAAATGTCATCAAAAGAAACATTACCTGATTGGTGTAGTGGATAAGATTGAGATCATGAGAAAGTACAAATTAGCAACTCGCCTGAACTGTCAGATTTATGATATATTTGTTACAGGATAAAACAAAAACAATTGATAAAATAAGTAAAATGAAACAAGAAACAACAATTATTTTTTTCAAAAGACTGATGACTGAAATACCTGCTCAAATAAACCCTTGGGTAGAAAGGTCAAGACACTGTACTTCGTCGTCGATATGGAATTGCTCTGAAAAATAAAAACAGTATCAAGCTTCTTATCATACTATAGACATTATAAGGAAAGATCATCAACTAGCACAGTGTATTTAAACCTTGTCAAGCCAAGAAATGTTTTGCTCACAACAGAATTTCCATAATAATGCAATAGAAACAAGTGGAACTACAACTGAGCTAGAAAGAAACAACACAGAGTGAAGGTGGTCGCATTATTTTGAATTTGTGATTAATATAAAAAGACATTGCAAAGGAACTCTAAACACCTCAATAAAGCAAACAATTCAATTGGTGCTTCAAATATTTTCACAAAGTTGATCTATTAATTCTGTTGCTTATTCACCAAATCAATTTTATTGTTTTCAATTTTAGGGTTAGCCCAATACTGTAGATTGGTAAATGAAAGAAGCTTCGAAAAGGGTCAAAATACTTATGTGTAGTAACTGATAGTATAGGCATTTAGGTTGGAAATTTTAGAAGATATAGAGGCAAGGTCAACTAATTTATTTCACAAGATTTTGAGAATTCAAAGAACTGATAAGCAAGGAAAAAAAATTTTTAGAGAAATTAAGCTAATGAACCACACTATGAAATTTTTAAGAAAATATGATTTAAAGAGAAAGATGTGAGATGAGTACATTTAAAAATTAGTATATTCGGAAGATCACCTACAAAACTTGCTAATTTATGAAGATAATGAAAAATTATAGGGAGAAAAGATTTACTTATGGTTTTTATTGACAAAGAAAAATCAATAGTAGAGTTGCTAGAGATATACTATGGTGGCTTTAGACAAAAAGACGAGTGTTCAGTAATTACACACACACATATATAGTGGTCTAATCCTAGAAGCACAAGTAATATGATGTCTAGGGAGTTCTCGTACCCATAGGGTTACACCAAAAATTAGTTATAAGTGTTTATCTCATCACATAGGACAACTGTGGTGTATTTTATTTGCTACCAATGAGGTCTGCAGGTAAGATTTTAGTTAAGATTAATTCAAAATTTGGGTTAACAAGGCAAAGCTACAAATTCAAGGTTTAGACTAGGGACTAAGACCAAATAAATGTAAATGCAATCTTGATTTAAGGTGTGGTTGAAATTGATAGTCAAGAAATTCCTCTAAAGTTCTAATATCTTGATTTATTATCAAGTAATAAAGAGAAACTGATGAAGACATAGTCCATAAAGTAAAAGTTAGATTGTTAAAGATGTTTTCTGATCATTGTTTGTCCCTAGAATTAAAGGAAAACTTTACAAGAGTAACAAGAGCAAATATAGTTAACTGTACCTAGGTGTTGGGAGGTTAAAAAACATGCACCAGAATAGTTAGTGTTGTCGAGATATTAGTGTTGAGGTTCATTAGTGATGATAGATAAACTGAAAAATGTTGTGATCAATAGACAATCAGGCATCACCTCATGAATAACATGTTTACAGAAATTATCAATGATGAAATTCAATTGACATAATTGATTATGATGGAATGATTGATGATGCAACAACAGGGAGTTCTAAAACAAATTATTGCAAACAATGAAAACAGATTTGATTGGTCATTATATCAATAGGAATATTCCCTTATTCAAAGCTCAAAGCCAATATGGAACACACAATTGCACAAGGAAGGCCAACATAAGCAGCTTTACCCTATAAGAATGGATTAAAATCTTCATCTAATACCAATACCAATCGACAATTGGACAGGTATGGAACTGGTATCACATGTTGATATAAATCAATACCGACTGATTCATGTCAATGTTAGTAAGTACCAACTGGACCAATAGAGAAAGAAAGAGAGGGAGGAGGACCAGGATGAGGAGGAACGGGAGGCAAAGGAGTTGGAAGAAGAGGTGGAGGAGTGGGGACTATATGACGGAGAGGCATTGCGACACGAACATGTGATTGCAAAGGAGCGGCATCGACAGGCAGGAGGCAACGATGTTGCGAGGAATAGAAGAGCGGCAAAAGAAAAAGGGAGAGAAATATAAGAGAGGAAAAAAGGAAGGGATGAATACAGACAGGTACCAGGTTGGGTTTCGATTAATTTACATCCCGATAAACCAGGCGTTTAAGCTACTAAATGATAAGCCTGTTTTTTGGTTTAAACTGAGTGAAAATGCCTTGTTCATGTACTGATCAACCATCAAACCAATACCGAACCCTGAACAAAGAACAAAAAAGAGCAACCACAAGTAGTTGGGCCAATACAATTTGTTGTTGTTGCTTTTGCTTAATCTTAGAGTTCCGGCTCTAATATCAACCAACATGTAGGTAGTTCTTACTATCAACCAACAAGTCATGTTTCTTTTCACGCAGAGAAAGATATCGTCCGATTCTTTTTCTATTGATTTTTTTTCGATCAAGATGTATGGATCCATGTGTCTATATAGATCCTGTTCATGGATTAACGAAAATGTGCAAAAGCTCTATTTGCCTCTGCCATTCTATGAGTCTCTTCCTTTTTGCGTATGGCATCGCCACTCCCTTTGGCAGCATCTACTAATTCGGAACTTAATTTGAAAGCCATATTTCGACCCGGACGTTTTCGGGATGCCCCTAATAACCAACGAATGGCAAGTGCTTTTCCTTGGCATCTAAACTTGCTTTAGTGGTCTAAAAGGTAATCGTGGCATCTTTATAAACATACAACCATGAAAAAAAGAAGCGACCAACAACCAGATCTTCAAATCGAACACAATTGGTTAACTCCATTCGGCAACATCAGTTACTTATTCACTGACGAATCTAGTACAACCAAGGGTAAAACATCAAACTTGTATAAATATTAGGCTTTTTTACTTACTTTGATTGTTCTTTTTTAATATACCATCAATCCAGAAATATATATTTCTTGTTTATCAACAGCTTTGATAGAATTCTATGTTCCTGGTTCAGTTCTATTCCAATCCTAAAATTAAACTGATCATAAATAAAATCACAATCCTAACAACCAGAGAAAAGGTGTTTGGTAGTAATAATAGAATAGAGTATCAGTAAAATGTACCCATTGATGAAAGAAATCAAATATAATTTCGTGTCAGCACCGCACCTAGGTTTACCAGTCTCAACCATTCCTCAAATAGGAATTAATCAGCCTATGTAGTCGACGGGTAGACTATAAAATAAAGACAACAGTCCTACCATTCATCTGATATTCATCCTATTCAAATCACCTTTAAATGAAGAAGTTGAGACCCTAGGAGGGCTAGAAAAGAAATACATCACTATGGCATTCCCCTAGTATTGTCTCAGCCAAACCATTTTTTCACATAGACGCTAAGCCCTAATAATGCTCTTTTATCTAGGAAAGTTGGCTTCCAAGTGGAATTGGTAAGGTTAAAAAGCCACTGCAATACTCTTGTAAGAATCCTGCCTACAGCACCATTGTCCTTTATTTCTATTAGCTTGACTAGCTTTTTGGGTTATTAAATAGGAAGGCTGGCCAAAATATAGAATGTTTATAAGGATGAATAGCTATGTTTACCTGCTTGAAATTAAGGCAGAGTCTCTAATGGAGTCTGAGCCATGCTCTAATGTCCAATTAAATGGGAATTCATTAATAGATCTATTGCTTATCGATTAACTCAAGAATATTTGATTTCTGTCCATGACAGGAAAGGTAAAATTCCATTACTGCACACTACATAGAACACCATTCGAGTCTCTGCAGTCATTCAAATACTAAGATATAGTAACTGCAATTCATTTCAACGTCTAAACCTAAGCTTTTTGTACCACGAAATGATCACAAGATATCTAAATTGCCCATTCAGCAAAAGTCCAAGCAAAGCGATTATACATGAGAATGATAAAAGCAAAAAAGATGAACTAGAGCCAGGGAAGGGTCCTCCAACCTTAAATCTGGCAATGGAGTTAGCGTCGGAGTCGTTGCAGTATATGGTGCGGTGGCTGGGATGCTGGGGCTGGACACGACCGAGCCGCACGGTCTGCGACGACACCTGCCGGAAGTCCGCTACCTCTCTCCTCCTCGTCCCCACCACCGCGGCCTCCCCGCCCAACCGCGCCATCCGCACCCTCTCCCACCCCCTGCCGTTCATCCTCTCCTCCTCCCTTTTCCCAGAATGAAGAACAATGTTACCTCGAAACTGTCTAGGATATCATCCTAGCCGCATTGTTCGCACCCTCTATCCATTCCCTGCCTCTCGTCTCATCCTATCCTCCTCCCCCCTCCATGAATCCCAACCCTACTCGTTTGCCGCCCCTTTTTTCTTCCAAATCCCTCGCTCCTCCTCCTCCTCCTCCTCTTGAATTCAAGTAGAAGATTTCCTCGAAACTGCCTAGGATTTCATCCCATCATCTCCTCCTCCGTTGCTGTGGGAAACAGAGATAGGGGGAATTCGATCTCCAACGCCATGGCGATATCTCGCAGGGCTGTAGAATAACGATCGATCGTTGCGAGGGATGGAACGGTCGCCTCGCGGCAATTCTATCCCAGGAAGCGGTAACGAAAGGGTGACCGAACAAAGTGGGGATGGTGGTGGTGGCGTGGGGCCCGTTACGATGTATCGTGCCACATCGGATTTTCCAAGTGACCCGTTACGGTGTGGGGGCCGATCATCTCAGCCTCTCTTACAACCGTCGGATCTAATCAGATCTAATTCCTTTTTTTCTTTTTATTATTAATGTAACTTGTTTTATATGGTTTTATAGATTAGACATATATTTTTGCTTCCTTGTTTGTCATTATATGATGCATTTTATCAATAGCGTGTTAATGACTTGATTCAATATTGAGAACGAGAAAATTACTATCTTTAACGAAAAAATTCGATAAGGATTTCATCTCATATTTGTTGATGACATACTTGTTATTATCGAGACAATAAGAAGTCTTGATTTTGCTAAATTATCATTTTTTTATTTACTTGTTTAGTTGCTTGATTATAAACTTTATTTACTTGTTTAGTTGTTTGATTATTAACATTTTTTTCTTCTAAACTTTTTTGTTAAGAAGAAAAAAATGCTTATTCATTGCTTGTAAACTTTTGTGTGTCAAAAAGTTATATGATACTCTCATCCACTAAGCAACTATAAGATTTGAGTACTATAAAATATTATACTAATATATATAGATATATCTATGGAGAATATATATGTGTATAATAAATTAATACTAATTTATTGATGATTATTATAAAAATGAATACCTCAATCATTGGCGAATCGTTATCGTTTCATTTGTGATCTCCTACTCCTTTACGGGTTCAGCAGCATCACTTTCACCCTGATCTTCCCTAGCGATGATTGACACACAATCGTCACCCTTTCCCATCATAGCTCCATCCCATCAAGAAGGCTCTATTTGGCCTTCTATCTCCTCCCTCTCTTCTCAATCTTTTCGTCACCTCTTTTCTCTTTCCTCTCTTCTTTCTCAATTATTATTTTGTTTCTTTTCTTGTTAGAGATATTGGGGTCTTATGATAAAAGTAAGAAATAAATGTGACAAAAATGAATGATGTCACACAAAAGACGATAGAGGTTAAATTTATAAGGTCTTATGATGGAAGCAAGAGACGAAGGTATAGAGTCTCATGGTGGGAGTAAAGAGCGACATGACCTCTATGCAAGACGAAGGGATCAATGGGTGGAGGGTAACAAAGGAGACGATAATGATGGGTGATAGTTCATTACATCATTATAATGCCAATGAAATAATTGCCTCGTTACGGTAGAGACAGTGATGTTGCGATTTCATGCAGCAACTTTGATGAGGGAATGTTCATTAGTCATTTAATTTGTCTAGGATTAATATGCGAGCGGTCATTTATGTTTATTTTGGTAGCATAAACTAATCCATGGGTTTACATGAAAACACGGAAGTCAACAGGACATAATCGTGCCCTAATTTCTAATCTCGCGCCCGATTGGCGTCCTAATTAATTTGGTCCGCGTGCTTTTACGGCCTCCTCGGCGACACCAACTCTTCTCGGTAGCTTCTTTTATTTATTGGTTATATGTACAGAGATTCTTGAACCAGAGGAGAACCCTCCCCCGCCTCCTCAAAACCCTAACCCCCATCCAGCTGCTTGGCTCCGCCTCTCTTCGCCGGAGGAGCGACCCGTGAGCCATGGACAGATACCAGAAAGTGGAGAAGCCGCGGCCCGAGTCGGCCATCAACGAGAACGAGATCCGAATCACTAGCCAAGGCGTCATCCGCAACTACGTGAGCTACGCAACGAGCCTTCTTCAGGTACGGATCCCTTGTTCTTGGTGATTTTCTTCTTGTCTGATCTCTTCGATTTCACATAGCCTCCTGTGCTATTTCGTGACTGGCACTTGAGATTAGTGGCCGGTCGGCAGTGTTATGCCTTTGAATGTCTTCTCATTTTATTTGTTCTAGTGTTTTATGTTGGTGATGCTTGTTATATTTGGTCTAATCGTGCGGGGCCATTTTCTAAACGCGTAGATTAGAGTCGATGAAGCTTCTGATGTTAGTGAAGGAATGCTCGCATCTTAAGAGCCATTGGAAAATGTCCAATGGTTTTGGGATGATTATTGACAATTGAAGGTGATTCAACCATGTAACTGATGACGGAAATATATACACAAACTGATTTTTCTTAAAATTGTGTATATGATTCTGTTGGATCAGAGGGCTTCTGTTTTATCTTGAAACCTTAAATGTAAATGCCATGAATAGATCTCTTGGATACCTTCAGCAAATATATGACAGGTTCTTTCAATAAGGTAAAGTAAGTATTGTTGTAAAAGATTGCCCATGTTGACTTGGCTGCTAGAACAGGAAAATTATTTCTTTCTTCCTTTTGATCGTTGACTTGTATACTTGCAACCTTCTTTTAGCATTATCTTGTCATTGTTTGTGATATATTTTCAACCAATGTTTTTTTTTTTTGTTGGGCATGTTTAGTATCCTCTTCTTTTCTTAAATTTTCTTGTCATAGTGCCATCACTATTTAACAATGAATAATAGATGTGTATAGCCAATCTAGTAGTGTCTGAGAAGTATCTGACTTTCTTATCATAAGAAACACCTAAATCACTCCTAAATCTTAATCAAGCTTCACAGGATTGAGATGGGTTTTGGATTCAGATATGAACATAGGATTTGGATCAATCTGGTAGCCTGATTCAGGTTGTGGTGTCGGACTTGAATTTTTTGAAATGATTAAGAGGACTTCTATTTGACTAGAAGTTGGTTGAGATTGTACTAAGATGTGACCTGCTTATTAGGGTTATTTCCCAATTCACAGGAGAATAGTTCTGTCAAGAAAGAAAAAGAAAGGAGAGAGTAACTAACTGTACTAACTATATTATTTTATAAGAAAAGTAGACAAGTCCTAAGCATGCCATTCAAGGCTACTAGTGCCTGCAACTTCTTACCTAATTATCTAGAGTAATCAGTAATCCATAAAATATATCAAATATTGCTGAACTTCTAGCAAGATTTGATAGGAATAATATTAAAGGACATGTTTGATATTGGATCATCCAGTGAAATTGCCTTCAGCAAGGCTAAATGACTGGAAAGGATTACTTAGCTGAACCACAAAGTCAGAAAGCCAAGACCCTTCATGAATCATTTAGATAGGGTTCCACCACTTCCTTCTAAAAGAGAACAGTCGGGAGCAACAACTTCTGTTGTTTATTTATTGCCTAACAAGGCCAATACTGAAAATTTATTATATTGGTTTAACCATCTATGAATTCAGGCTTGTGTTCTTTTGCCAACAAAAAAAAGTAAACTCTTGCCTATAGTTGTTCTTGCATTTATGCTCTGAAAAAGTAGTCTGAAGTGTATAAATTCTTCCTTGCTATGCCATGTGGAGAGTATATGATTTAACAAGGTTCAGGTTGTGATATACGGTTAATTGCTAGATGTTATAATAGTACATTCTTGACATGAGCTTCGGAAGATGCGACTATGATATAGTAGGTTCATATGTTCTCTCCATTCTTACCAGATAAAGTTGTATATACTATGCAACTTTAATCAGAAATGTCATAGTTTTAGATAATTTAAGGTTCAAATAGGCTGATGGTTTATTTGAATGGTAACTATAGACTCATCTGTGTATGCTGTCTGACCATGATTTTTAGGAAAATTACGAAAGTTTCACATACATTAGTTCTTAGTCCGTAAAAATAAAACAATGTACCTAATCAAATGAAAATATAAACATATATCACCTGAGTCTTTCTATCATGGGAAACATCACAACAATATAAGTATTTTTAATGTCTTATAATTATGGTGATGCATATTTCATAAATGGATCTGTAAGAGATTACAAGAACTTAAGAATCAATGTTATACATAAACTGAAGTACGTTTGATTTGTTGGATTTATACTAGCACCCAGATATGCCTACGTTTTCTCTGTGAATTTTGTTACCCATTGAGAGAGGACTCTTGAAAAATATAGTTGGATCTGCTAGGTTACTCTTTTGTTGTTCATAGTTGTGCATTGCCTATAAACTCTTTCTTTGGAAACTGCAATTTTCATAGTATTTTTTTTAATAAAAGGTTCTTCTTGGTTGCTCATAAGGTAGATCACTATTTAACATTGATGACTAGTCGACTTGATGTTTTTTTTTCTTGGTTTAGCATTATGTCTGAATCTGATTATGCTGGTTGTTAACATCTGCTATTGAGTCTAAGCAAGGATAGACTGCCTTAGTGGTATGTTTGCACTGCAATAAAAAAAAAAACAAAATAAAATATTTTGTATTATTTTATGTTTTATTCAACAAAATGTGAATTATTTCATTCAGAAAGATATATACTCTATAATTCTATGCGCCTTTTGTCTTATGCTTATTTTCCTATTCGCCACTGGATTTTTTTTCATTTTTTGTTGCTGTTTATTGGTTAAAAAAATTAACTTCACTTTGGTGGCCATGTGTTACTATGCTTCATCCAGGAAAGGCGTGGTAGAGAAATTGTCTTAAAGGCAATGGGACAGGCAATCAGCAAAGCTGTGGCAATTGCTGAAATCATAAAGGTTGGCTTTTAAAACATTTTGTTTCCTTCTTTTTAATTTCTTAAAGTGATATTAGCCATCAGTTCCTATACATTTTGAGTGCAGAAAAGGTTTCCTGGATTATATCAAGATACTGCAATCAGTTCGGTCAGTATCACTGATGTGTGGGAACCTATTGAAGAGGGTCTTGTACCGTTAAGTCTCTTTCTATTTTTGTTGCACATTTGATAAACTTTTATATGATTTTTTAGAGATTTTAGATGACTATCTTTAACTTTTATCTAATGCTTTGTGCAGTTTGGAGACGACACGCCATGTTTCAATGATTTCAATATCATTGTCAACCAGAGAGCTAAACAAGAATTCCCCTGGGTACTTGTTTGTTGCTTCTCATGCTGCATTTTGAATATAACCTACTCCATTGTTAGGAAGGTGTTTCACATGTTGAACTAATTACTTTTTCATCATTGAT